AGATGTATGGATCATCAATAATTGCCCAGCTTGCCAATTGTTCCTTTCTAATGTATTTCAAGATTCCTTTCCTCCCACTCTTTGTTTTTTCAGTTCATGTTGTCATTCCATGTTGAGGTTTCCTCTGAAAAGATGGAAATTCTTTCTGCTAAGTCTTTCAAGATAATCCCAACAGGTTTACCTCCTCAGGTAGCGTTATGCTAGCATCTGCTTGGTCACATACTCATGATATAGTGCTCCATTTTGGGACCATTCTTCATTTGCATGTTGCCTGCATGCCGAAGACATATATTTTATCCCTCAATCAGGTCATATCGGCACATGAAAGACACTTCCTATAAATTCTTTACTACAGCTTGTGATTCAGGAAATATTTTATGGAAGACATATTTTAGGTTGTCCATCCTCTGATTTCCCTCAGAAACTAATAAATAATCAACAAAAATATGATTAAAGGCATGACTTGTGAACTCACATCTAGAAAGGGAGACTAGCTGGTAGAAAAATCTTTCTGATCCATATTCGTTTATTCTTAGAAACAGAATTCTAACGTAGGCTTTCAAAAACCTGATGAAGGGTTTGGCTAAGTTTTGACATCAGATTCACATCCTCAGAATAACTGTTGGAATAAAGTGAGGAAAGAGTTTGGATCTTGACATTACAGAAAGATGAAGTGGAGCTTAGTAAGCCAGAAAGGCAAATTACTTGTCCTTAATTGGAATTTCCTACAACACCAAGATATATAGTCAGTTTTCAATTGGATGTCCACCTGAGATTGCCTTTAACCCTTTCTAGGCAAAATTGTAGACGTTCATAAGGATTTTTTTATGAATAGTATTCTATATAAAGTATTTTAACCAATAATGCATTGTGACCACCAGCCCTCTGCCCTTCCTGTGTGCAGCAGAAGATCCTGGTGTACGTGACTTTGGTGAGGAAAAGGCAGTCAGTCTGGGACCCTCTCAGTTGGAGGGCAGAGCCCTGCCATTGTTCTCAGACTTAGAGGTGAACTCCTTAGAAGAACTTCCATCTCAGCCTTGCAGAAGTCTCAGGATGAAACGTCAGATAATCACCCTTTGACATTCCAGCCAGCTGCTGCAGGAGAAGTGGAACTAATCACGGTGCAGTTCTAACCCTACAGCTACATTTAGATTTAGATTTAGCAACTTGCTAAAGCAACATCTGCCTGTTGCAGAATGAAAGAGTTCTAGCAGGATCCATTTGGAACTATCCAAGGTTCTGAAGCTGCCCAAGTTCTGCAGACGAAGGAAAGGAAGACCAAACTAGGGATAAATGGACTCCATAAAGGAAGCCACAAACTTGAATTTAGAACACCTCAGCTGGGATGTCATGGGCAGAACATCTTGGAGGACATCCATTCATAGAGTTACCATAAGTCAGAGATAACTTTGCAGCACATAACAACAACAGGGTCTTGTTTTCTTCTTGCCCTGTTCGGCCTGCCATTGGATGCTTCTTTTGGAAGTCTCAAGGGACCACAGAATGGGAAAAATAATGGTTCATGTTGATTGTAAGAAGAAGGATTCATGTCTATTGATGAACAAATGAATGAATCTTTAGAAAAGCATTGCATTGGTAGAGATAAATAAATGCATGCAAAGCAATATAAAAATACGATGATGGTCCACTCACATACAAGTTGCCCACTTTATGCTGCAGAATTTCAACTCAGTGCATATTATTTTCAAAAATGATAGCAATTAAAATTCTCAAAATTCTCCATATTCTAGAGGGGAAGAACTTGCAATTTAAAAAAAAATATGAACTAACAGATCCATTCAACTTTAGCTCAGATGCACCCCCTCTACAAAGAGAGGATAGACCAGGTTTGAATGTGAATATCCAATATGGAGTTCCACATGCGCTTAGACTGAATCCCTGGCACATAAATGGTAGTTTTAAAGCCACATGTTCTAACATGCATTCAAATCAAATGTGAAGGCGGCTGCACAGAACTTCATGAAATCACAGCAACGGTGTTGAACATATCTGGCATCTTGTTACGATGGGCCATCACCACCTTTCCTGTTGAAGTGAAGATGTGAAAGGGATCACAAATCGGCAGATTAGATCATAGAATTGTGGAGCTGTAAGGGGCCATGAAGGCCATCAGGTCAACCCCTGCTGTTTCCGGTCCCCAGTTTCCACCATCTCACTCATTGAATGTCTCTAGCATGGGAGAGCACACCACCTCTCTAGGCAACTCCTTTGCAACAGGGACCTATTTTTGCCAGTGTTGCTCTATCAGACCCCCATATACCTCAGTGGCCCTGTATCTAATCATTAGCACATTCATAATAATAACCCCCTGCCCCCGGAATAGCTAATCTTAGATAACATATCAAATTTACAGATCCTTGGAAGCAATTTTCCTTCTGTAAGAACTTTATTTGTTCTCTGCTTATTTTCTGCAACACCCTGTGTCTTTATCTGTCATTACATGGCAGAGGAGAGTTTTCTGAATCACATTTATTAAGTACCTCACATGAGGCTCGTTAATGAACAAAGCAATTGAATCATCACCATTTTGGATTGACAATGGTGGGAGAAGAAACCAAGTTGCACTGCTTTTGCCACAGAATGATGGATAAAATCCTCTTTGAACACCCAAGAATTTTTTTTTTTTTAAGCCCGCTCAGAAAGGTTGCATTTATATTTGGCTTTCTAGCCCCCTATCCTGACCTTCCAATTACTTTATTTGAAACAGCACTGAGGGTATAATAAAACTGGAGGTTGTCTCTCGTTTGCTTTATTCATAAATTAAAGCTGTTAGCTTGGTGAGGTGAAAGTAGAGGCAGGGTGTTCATTTCTGCAGCACTGACGGCTTGTCAATAGCACTGCTTTTTAGTTTGTTCTAGTCAGCACTTGTGTTCATTTTGTTGGGCCGTTGGGAAATAAATACAACAAGATTATACATTTGGAAATACCACAAGAGTTCATGGGGAAAGGAGGGAGGGGAAGTGGGGTTGAAAGAAAGAAAAAGAAAAGCAAATGATAAATTATACACTGGGTAGAACGTGACATGCTATCTTGCGCTATTAACAACCAGAGATAATTGCAGTGAACTGTAATTGCAAGTTTTGCAAGTTACAGTTCGCAGTGTCCAACATCAATCTTAATAGGGAACAAAGCAATTTGTATTAAAACTTAATTCGCTTGGTAACTTTCTGCTGTATACAAGAGAGCTAACAGATGTAGCTTTTCAAGAAGTTCAAAGGCACCGGGAACATGGAGAGACATGCTAATGTAGCAAGCCGTGGAGAAATATTGCATTACGGCTTGTAATGAAAACAAATGTATGCCATTATATCGTAGTTTGTGTTTATTTAATAAAATATATACAGTTTTCACGTCGAGGAATTGAGTGTCCCTGAATGGGAATGGCTTCACACATCAGACAGGGAAAACCATCGTGCCTCCTGTGTATAAATGAGATTTCTACTTATTGCTTCTATATTACATGTTTAATGTAATGGTATCGGCTTTTTGATGGAACGGAATGTGAAAATGGGGCGGATGAGTCTTTGATTGGAATTCCTCATATTTAAAATTGCATTCTGAAATAATAGGATGTGGCTGGAAAAGAAGGAGGCCCGTTCTTTTGTCTGTGGTGTGTCATCGCCACATATGTGAGTTATCGATGGAATTAGATAAGCTGAAAAATGGCCAGTTGACAGTCCCGTTCCAGCCCCAAGCAGATGGGGAATCCTTCTTTATGTTCAGATTTTGGCCAGTTCTGTTTTCACTGCCATCCCTTCACTCTCGCATTATATGGTGGCTAGCGCATGCTGGGAAAAAGGACCATGAGTGTGAAAAAGAGCAACCTTTCCCAACCTGGTGCCTGCCAGATGTTTTGGAGCTCCCTGAGTCAAGGGTACTCTGTAGGGCAGATGTGAGTGGGGGGAAGTTGGCACCTGAGCCATCTTCCTGTACATCTTCCTGAGCTCATGGAGGAAAAACAGAATGTAAATATGAAGCACCAAATACAAATATAAAAGTTATATGCTGGAAAGAATGTCTTGCAGTGAGACCTTGAGGTCTACATGAAAGAGGGTCAACTTTTCATGAGTTTGGCTCAACACAATCAGCTGCCAAACTGGACATAATGCAGAGAATGAGCACGTCACCTGGGCTTCCTCCCAGAGTCCTTGCTAACGGCAGTCCTGCCATGCTCAGGAGCGTAGTCTGCTCTGCCAGATGTGCTCCAGCCTGGACAAGGGAGACTTTGCATGCTAGGGACATGCACTAGTGACATCCTGGACACTAATGTGTTGTCTGTGGGGCCGCCTTTGAAAAGGGTCCCAAAACGTCCCAGGATCTTAAATGCAAATCACTGTAGTATAGAATTCTCCTAATCAGAGTTCCAGCCAGACAGACAGGTCTTTGTCTGGAATATTCCATCCCATTTCCCATCTCTCATTCTCTGCCCAATGTGTGGTTCATTTCACTTTGGGCTGGTTTGGGTTTTCATCCATGGGCTTCTTCCACCGTAGAAGTTTCCATCAGTTTTAATGGGCCCTAATTAAAGAAGTACAAGGTTTCCTAGAGAGAGAAGCAGGGACTTGATTTGATTCTCAGAGAAACACCAAACTATGCTGAATTTATTCATCAGAAACAAATCACTACCCACCCATTTCAGAGGGTCTGAATAAATCCAGGAATGCCAGGCATTATCAGAGAAACACACAAGGGGATCATCAAATCATTTCAGAGAATAAACACTCAGGGGATTGGATGAAGAGAAGTTTGGCTTATTAAATCAAGTTCTAGCCCTTCTTTTCTTCTTCAGCTTGCTCAGATATTTGCCATACGTTCTACGAAAGTAAACATTGGAAGGAAAGTAAGCCACAAAGATTTTCCTTTCCCTTTTCTGGAGCTCTTTCTGCATTGCAACGGGAGAATCAATACAAATCTTTGCAGTAATCACATATTGATTTCCCTAGAATATAACCCCATTTAAAACATTTTTTATCCCTAAGAAAGGAAGACTGGAGGCGATTGGAGAAGGAAGAAGGTTCCCTTGACCCCACATGTGGTTCAAAATTGATTAAGAGAAGCTGCATTAGAAGAAGGAGAAAGGAAGAGAAGAAGAAGAAAAAGATAGAGGGTGAAGGAGGGATAAAAACTTAAGGTCACGGAAAGTTTAATGAAGTATATATAGGTAGACTCATGACTGCATTTGTATTCGGGCTGGTTTTTTGGTTTTGATTTTTTTCTAATAGAACACACTGTTGTCTGCTTAATAAATGCCTTCTCATTACCGTCTTGAGGAATGTGAATCCCCTACAATGAAGGGTTATTTCGGATGCAATATTCTGTGCCCATGTTTCCGGGGTATGAGTTCATGAGCATTACCTGGAGGTCCATGATATTGTGCCATCCAGATCTATGGGTACTTCCAAGCAGGAAGCTCTCAGCATTAACATTTAGGGTTCCACCACAAAGCCCCCAGTTTGGATGGCTTTCACAGGGGATTGGACAAATTAATGGAGGAGGAGGAAGCCATCTCTTTAGCAAGTCCTGATGGCTCTGTTTCCTTCCATATCGGGGCAGTGTGTCTACAATTTGCTGAAGAAGATGCCCATAGGTCCATAGGTTGCCTTCAGGAAGCTGCTTGACCATTGTGAACAGAATGCTAGACTAGATGGCTCCTTGGTCCAATCCTGCATGGACCTCCTCACATTCTCAGAATGGTGCTGAACAGTAATCTCTGCCTTTTTTTCCTTAATGGGTTTTCTATGGTAAAGAAAATGATGGAAGAGGAAGCGGAAGAACATGGGAGAGCTGTGAGTGGGAGATGACAACACCTGGGTACTCTGTAAAATTCCACGGATGATGCAAGGCTAGAGTGTCATAAACCTTGTCTAGAAGCAACCTAACTAATCCTTTCCATGCTTTGAATTGACACAACTCTATCCTCCTCCTCCTCCTCCTCCTCCATCAATCATCATCAAACTAGATGTTTAAGCATATCTGTAAGTGGTTTAGCAAGAGATCCAAATGCATTCTAAAACACATTGGAATGCATTATAGCAACTACAGATCATTAAAACCAAATACAAGGGCACTGTGAACCAACTAATATAGGGCACTGATCCCATCTTCAAACATGTCCTTCAACAAGAATACTGAACTCAGTGCTGGACCAGCCATATCTTTGGACTGGATGGGCCTTGGATCTGATGTGCATGGCTTTTTCATAGCCCTTCCTGTAAGAGGGCACTCGGAAGATAGGGTAGCCATCATGGGGAATCAGTATCCTGACTACCTACCTACCATGCATCCATGTTATGACTTCAAAGGAGGAATCACCAAGATTCTGGTCCCCAGGGATAATTCCTGGAAAGGATCCATGGGCTTCAAGCTGTGAAGCAGGGCATTCCATCCCTCTGTTTATGGGGCCTCTGAAGGAATGGGCTTTGCACTCATTGCCCAGGGCACTAATTGATCTGCTGGATAAGGATTGGAAAGGTTGCCTTAGGCTACTGGCCCATTTTGCTTAGGACCATTAACAGTGAATGGGAATAGCTCTTTAGGGTTCCAGGTACCAGCCCCTTCTTGGAAATTCCAGGGACTGAAACTTGGATCTTCAGCATCCAATGTATCGGCATCACCAATGCACTGCAGTTCATCCATTATATGCCGCTGTTTCTTTTTTCCCTCTTTCTATGGCAGTCTGCTCTTCTCCCACACAAAGTCTCCCTCCCTCCCTCTCATTCAAAAGAAAGGTACGTCAATGTATTCAGAGCATCTCAGTCTTTCAGAAGTGGATTGTGGTCCATTTTTGATCAGGGGACTTACACGCCTTGTGCAGCTCACAAGCCTTATGCCTTATTTCTCAGCATCACTTAACTGCCCTTTTCATGAAAAGGAAGTGCTACTGACTCCTACAAAGAGCTTGCAGTATGAAACAACAGGTGGTAGGTTTGAAGCAACCACAGGAAAAACTGTAAGAGGAGATGTCATTCTCTCCATCCCTGTCAGGATTTTCCTGTGATGAGTTTGAACAGAACTGGACTATATGGAGTGATCTACTGGGGATATTTGAAGGTACTCCATCGCATGAGCCCAGTCCCTTAGAGCCCGAGTTTTCTGTCTGCCTTTCTATGTTTGTGCACCATCTAATAATTTGTAGCATTCTCCAGTTGTCTTCCATAGGGATTCTGCACTTTCAGCTCCAGGGGCAAAATCAATTTTGGAGAGACCCTTGGGAGCTCCAGGCCTGTGATGAGGGTGGCCGAAAAGACAGGATGAAAGGAAAGAGGGGCAGGGCCTGAAACCCAACACAAGTTAGCTTAGAGTGCATCCCCCTGGTAATTAAGCCTTGGGAAAGGCATTTCAGCCCTTTGGAAAGGGGAAAACAAACTGCATAAAAGGTGAGAACCTGTCCAGTGGCTGGGACAGGGCTGTGGTCATCCAAAGACCCTCAGGAGGACTACTTGGATCTGGCCCCAGGACCTCGGTTTTCATTAATCAAAAGAAATAGCAGCAGTGTGGGGGCCCTGAATATCATTTTAATAACAAACTGAATTTGCAAGAGAAGATTTGGTCATTTCGATACCTGGGCCCTTACCTGTCCAGGATGTCGTCCTAGCCATCACACTCTTCTTGCCCATAAGCTCCCAAAGTCAGTGGCTTGTGAACTTCCCCTGCAGGGTGGGAGGAGCAGAGATCAGTGCCATGGGATCAATTAGCCTTCTGTAACAATAGACAATTAGCATTCTATAACAATAAGCACTACCGATCCTTCTCTTAAGTTTTTCCCCTCATGCTAATGTATTATTGACTACAGCAGTCTCGACGTGCGTGCACTTGTAGACTAACCCTCCATTAGAGCATCTTGTCTCAATACTTTAAATGTTGCTTAACAAGAAAAATATGTCAATAGACAAAGAAAGCTTTCATTTTTATGCTTTCAACTTGAGCAAACCGCTCCGAGCGGAGCTGTAAATTACCCCCGAAGAATGCAGAAGCGGGCAAAAGAGAGAACAATTTTAGTGACATCGGACGTGGCTGGCTTAGTAATTAGTCACATTTAACAATATATTATTTTTATCTCCTCTCTGCCCCAGTGTCATCTCCACCCCTTCCAGCTCCAAGTGAGGCTCACCTCCTTTCCCCATAAATCAAGCCTCGGTTTTGTCAGCAGGTTATATCTATCTGTTATTTAAGGAAAATTACTAAGTGAACTCCTTGTTCAAAAATTTGGGTATGATGCATTGCAGGATGGGAGGGCCTTTAATCGGGCACTCCTCCACCCGGGCTTTCCAGTGTGCACTTAGGGGGAAGGGGCTGGTTGGATGGGAAGAGGATTTAACTGGTGTTTGCTCAGAGGGCCCTTGCAACAGTCCCTAGCGGTTCTTGTCATCGCTTGGGCTGCACTGCCGGGATCAGAACCAGGCGACAGTGCCAATGCAACACTTTGCCCGAAGCGCCTGTCAACTCATGACAGATGGGACAAATCTTAATGCTTTATCAGAACATTCATCTCCAATCTTGATTAGTGAACCTATTGAATTATGATTAATTCACAAGAGTGCTGCTGACAGATAAGGCACTTTATCTGACAACGTGTGTAGTAGTTTCGTTTGCCCTGAAGCGAGGCAACATACTGTGAATGAGCGCTGAGCTGCATTGGACCCTTTTTTGATTTAATGTAGAGGCCGGGTCGCAAGAGTATGGCTTCACACTGCAGAGGAAAGGCGAGAAACCAAGGCAAAGGGGATTAATAAAAGAGGGAGAGTACGAGTGTGAGAACCTATGGAGCTCCCTGGGTCCGTAGGCCCATCTTATGGAATCATGGAATCATAGAACAGTAGAGTAGGAAGGGGCCATGAGGGCCATCAGGTCCAACCTCCTGCAGTTGCAGGACACCGAGTTACACCACCCCACACAGATGGCTGTCAGATTTCTTTTTGAATGTCTGTAGTAGAAGGAGAGCCCACCACCTCTCCAGGCAGCTGGTTTCACCGTCAAATATTTATCTTGTTTGGTACCTGGTATTTGACTACCATGGATGATCTAAGCCAGCTTCCTGGGGAATCCTGGATGGCCAAATTTGGCTCCTGGCTCTGAGTTTATACACCCCCCCCCCCCATATTATCCTTCTATGGCAGGAAAAGAAGAGTATGGCCTTCCAGATGTTGTTGGTCTTCAACACCCGTGAACCACCAGTCAGCATGACCAATGGTGAGGAAAAGGGATGTGTGAAGAACACATGTTTGGGTAGGAATTTGCCAGGCCAGGCTTCCTGGACGCCAGCCCACCTTCTCATGGCTGTGAGTCCAACATTCTGGACCCATCCTGGTTCCCACAGTGCTTGCCAGGACTTGAGCTCGAGGACACAAATGCTATGCAAGCAGCATCCCTATTCTAGAGATGATGGGGACTGAATCAGGGCTTTACTACAGACAAAGTTTGAATCATCTAAGTAGAGATAACCAGGCCACTAGTCTGTTTCTAATCTCTCTTGCATTCCCATGTGCTCACCCCTAAATCCATTCTATCCTGTAACTTCATTAACCTGCATTTTTTTTTAAATAAAAGCCCAAAATCTATGTTCCAATTGGCATATTCATATGAGTCTTTAAACAGATTGTCTCTTGAAGCCCAAATTATTTCAGAAAATGTGTTGTTGATGATGATGATGAGTCTGAGAACTTTGTCTTTGATAAGTCTGATGGCTGAAAGACAACTAAGTCCTCCTCTTTGTTAATCTAGGAGGTGCAATTCAGAGGTAATATGTGGTGTAAACCCATTCCAGTGGATGTGACATAATTTTGGTAGCTAAAAGACTAATATTACAATATTGGAAGTTCAGACAGTAGCCTCCAATAACACTGGGCAGAAGACTTGGGAACAGTGTCAACAGTAGAACAGTTAGTCTTTTGACACGGGCTAGAAATGGATACATGCATGGCTATTCATAGCTATCTTATATATTCATTAATTATATTTATATCCCACCTTTTTCCTTCAAGGAACTTGAGGAACCTTCATAATCCTTTTCTTCTCTATCTTATGCTCACAACCCTGTGAGATAGGCTAGGCTAAGAATGAGTGACCGGCCCAAAGTCACCCGATGAACTTCATGGCCAAGTGGAAACTAAAGCTTGGCTCTCCTAGGTCCCCAGTCCAACACCCTAATTACGCTACACTGGCCTATTCACAGTATATAAAAATGTGAAGTCTAATGGAGCTATTCAAATTTCATGTAAGAAAAAAGTGTTGTGTTTACTGCATTTCCTTTTCTATTTTTTTGTTTTTGTTTCAATTTAATGAAATTCACAATAACAAATTAAAGCACAGGGGAAATGCCCCATTCACTTCAATGGGGCTGCTCAATATTTGACATACATTCCAGGGCAGTAGGTGCTGGAATTTGCAGAAAAGCTTTCCCTACCACCAACCCATGGCCTCTGACTGCCATGAAGTGTTGTGCTTCTCTCTAATTCGGCGAGGAATAAAACTGCATTGTAATGTTATTTAAAAGGAGACTGTTCCCTGTTTCTCAGCAGCTGGTGCCATTCCACGGGATGCCGAGGTATTCAAAAAACAGGGTATTACCAAGAAATAATGTTCTCCTTTTCAGGAGAAGTTTACTCCAGAGCGCTCATTGCCACCATTCCACAAGTCAATTTATTACGTGTCCCATGCTTTATGACCTTGTCCCGAACCCATGCATGAAAACACCCACATTTTAGCTCTCCCGTCTGTGCTTCTGAGTGCTGAAAGGTTAAAAGCTGTGTTGCAAAGTCCTCCGGCATAAAAGCACTTCAAGGCGAAAGTTTTGGGGCCGCTCTAAACGAGCGAATAAAATTCAAGGTGTTTATTTCCTAACTGCTAAATGCAATTTTTATACTATGTGGTTTTATTCCAACATACACTTCTGCAACTAAAGAGGTTCTGTTACCAGTGTATCTGCCTCGGAGTGTTAATAAATGCTAAATGCAGAGGGAAAGTTGGGATAAGTCTCCAGTTGGGTCACATTTTCCATTTTAAACCTGGATCTGAATTAGTTTATGAATCTGAAAGAGGGTGTGTGGGTTTAAAGAAGGAACGCTCTGTCCTTCACACAAATCCCCAATATGAAAATAGTGTTGTCTCTCTCCTTTTACTCTGTGGATACATAAATAGAAACATGTCTTTGTGCTTTTATTTGGTTGTGCAGATAGATACTCCCTTAACTCAACATTTTATCCTGAAGAGCATTGTTTATCCTAAAGATCTCAAGGTACTTTGGAAAAGCAAATTTCTGAATATGGAGGAATTGCTTTCCTTACTACTGAAATGCATACACTTCTTAGAGAGGACTAGTGGTACTAAATTCCCACAGACAGTTCTTACCACCATGAGGCTGAAGATCATGAATAGTTATCATTATTCATGATAATATTCTTGCTTTCTTATTTAAGGAAGTGTTTGGCTGATTTGATTTAATTTAATACTTTTATATTTGTTATGTTTTTTATCTTCCAATTCCCAGTCCGGTACTTTGAATACCACACCACACTGTCTTTCAAACATCTGAAACTTAAGTATTTTAGAGTATGCCTTCTACTATCTGCAATCAAATTGTAAAAGAACTAAGATATAGTTAAAATTTAGGAATCCAAGTGTATGTAATTGTGTGAAATTTAAAAAAAAAGATTAATATATGATGGGATATTCAGTACTGTTTCTGAAATATTGGCCTAG